TATCTGGACATTATAAAGATGTGAAATTTTAAAATTTTCTGATGAATAAAAGTATCTTTAATCTTAAAATGAAAATGACTTTGCATGTTGGATAGGCAACATACAAAAAGAAAAAAAAAGGCATGAGAAAAACATTGCTTAACAAACCTTAAGACTTAATAAAAAATTTGATATTTTGTGTATAAAAGCATTGTACGGTTCACTGATAATTTGCAAAATTTCGTTAACATACACTTACTAATTTAAAATTTATATCATGAAAATTATAACAAGCACAAAATGGTTACAAGGTCAGTCTCAGGAACTGGGCCCATACTGAAAGAGTTAATCATAATAACAGAAAAAAAAAAAGGGGGCTCCATCAGACTGAACATAATAGTGAAAAACTGGACTGAAATCTTACCATTTCTAAAATTCTTTTCTGTAAATTGGATATTTCTCTTTTGCGACTCTCGAGAGAAGCTTCTAACTGTAGAATTGTTTCATCTTTTTTGAGTACATCTTCTCGTAGTTCACGGGAAACGGCATTTTCATATTCCTTGCCATATATAAACATTACAGATAATATTAAAAATTCCATATTTTGCTTAAAAACAGAAAATACAGAAAGAATAAATAAAATATTTACGGGTAATATGAAAAAAAAAATCCTTAAATTAATTTTTCTTTCAGGTTTTATTATGATACATTTTTCAGCCCTCTTTAGTTTCTGGCTACAAGAATACTACAGATCTAATGCCAGAGATAAAGTGAGTCCTCATTCACACTATGCCTTATTCTAATGAAGAAAATTAACTTAACCAGGTTAAGTAGGCATGGATTTATCCAGGTCAAATATAAATTTGGCTAATAAATGAACACTAACAGGACTACAACTGTTTTAAATACATTTTAATCAAGGAATTTTTTATTTTTTTTTATAAATATAAGAATTAAATAACATCTTTCAAAGCTCATTATTATAGCAGTTATGTAAATACATTACTAAATAACATTCCCAATGTTATCTTTAATTCTTATATTTATAAAATTAACATATCTTTCAAAGCTCATTATTATAGCAGTTATTTAAATATGTTACTAAATAACATTCACAAGAAGTCTGATATTAATTGTGCTTAAATAATTTTCAAAAATAAACATTTAAGGAAAAATTATTAATGTAAAAAATTCATAAAAGACTTGTGTTTATTGTTTAAGTACAAAGTTACACAGTGGGCTATCTGTGCTCTGTCCATCTTGGGTATTAAACCACTATTTTTAGCATTTTAAGCCTGCAGACAAACATGAACACTTGGGAGGGGAGGAAGAAGATTAACAAACAGCTACAAATTATCCTTTTAATTTTTGTTGTGTCTTAATATTAAATAATTTTCTCTATAATTTAACTATTTTGCATATCTAAGATCAACTTATCAATAGAAGATGATTAAAAACAAATTTTATAACCACACACTATAAAGGATAATTGGATTTACTTAATAAATACAAATATTGTCTCTTCTAGATTCTAAAATGATTGAAACTCCTTATATACAAAGTATTTGATTGATATTAGTTGTAAACCATTTTTACCCCAAAAAATCATATGTGGCAGTAAGTTAATAACTTAAATCTTTTCATGTTAAAATAATTTAAATATCAAATAGTCTCACCATTTTTGTTTCTAAGGATTTGACTCTGTCTTCAGATTTTGTCAAATTCTGATTTAGTTTCTCTATTTCTTCTTTGTAATGGTTCACCATTTCAGTTTCAGGACTCTCCTATAGGTGGAAATAAAATATTGTACAAGCTATTATCCTTGTCAGAACCTGTGATTTTATGTATCATAAATTTTAGAACTAACATGTGAAAGAAACTCAGAAACTAGTTTAAATATTTGGTTCTATTGTAAGCATACAGTATAACTTTACTTGGCTGGTTCTATGTAAGCATGCAGTGTAATTTTAGTTGATTGGTTCTATCTAAGCATGCAGTGTAATTTTATGTGACTGGTTCTATCTAAGCATGCAGTGTAATTTTACGTGACTGGTTCTATCTAAGCATGTAGTGTAATTTTACTTGATTGGTTCTATCTAAGAATGCAGTGTAATTTTACTTGATTGGTTCTATCTAAGAATGCAGTGTAATTTTACTTGATTGGTTCTATC